CGAGTTATCATTATATAACGTAATATCTATATTTTTCTATATATACCTTACATAGTGCGTTTTCGATCAATCTGGACTTAGTATAGTCCGATTTGAAATTTTCAAAAACAAACTACATTTTTTTCTCAAAAAATTATTTTTTTATACATAAATAATCGCATATTTTCCTTTATACAATCATGTCTCATACTTTAGACTAATTAAATAAAATTATAGAAATTTCTGTAAAACATATAAAATATTTAATTACAGGTGAATGTAATTAAACTAAAATAATTATATATAATTTTGTGTATTTGTTTTTGTTTTTACATAAACTTTCATTGTTTCAATGATTAATTCAATGCTAATTAAAGTAATTTAAATATGAGATCATTCAACGGAATTTTAACGTTCAGATTATTAAACTGAAATTCCTTGCATTAATTACCCAATTAAAACGCACTAAAGATGAAATCAGATAAAAAAAGAAAAGTGAAGTGTTTTCCGGTAATTTCAACGCAATAACAGACTTGACACAAAGAAGTAGGAAATATAAAAAAAAATAGTTTCAATAACAATACAAATTAATTACCTAAAACTGTTATTATGTTTCTAATGGAAAAAAAATATCAAGTAGAAATGAATTAATACAAAAAAATGTGATTATAGTATAAAATTAATTAAAAAATGAGCTTTATTATAATAATATTTACCTTATTTGCAGAAAATCACGAACATTAATTTCTTTTTTTTACAAACTTTTTATAAGATTATAATTTGTTTATGTAAAAAAAAATATATGAGTATATAAAAAGTCTTTAATTAAGTTATGTTATAAAATTAGTGCAAAAAGAATTGTTTTCAAATAAATAAGAAATTGAATTGAAGTGAAGTCTCGTTTTATACTTTTCATTTTTTTGCAGTTTTAAACTTTTAGTCCGGTTTTATACAGTGCGAGATATTGTCAATTATCCGGACTATGCGAGGTATTGTTGTATTTATCTTAATTACAATAATATGAACAGACTATAGAAACTTAAGAATAAAGTTAATCATGTAAACTAAATTTATTCTTTAGTTGTGAGAAATAATGTTTAGTAAAACTTGTGTAATTTGTAAAAAATAGTACAGAATTTTTTTTCTACATAAATCATCATTTTTTTCTTCCTCTATATAGTCAAGTCTCTTTGTGTTATATATTTGTATGAAGTTTTAAGCTCCTCGATTAGTCCGGTTTTATACTGTGCGAGATACCAATTACCCGGACTATGCGAGGTATTGTTGTATTTATATTTACAATTTTAAAAAGAAATACAATTATTTGCAATTGATTTGGAATTATTATGGAAAATGAATGTGAAAAAGAATGTTTTAATAAAATGGTCAAGTTTCTTTTTGTGCAGTTTTAAACTCCTCGATTAGTTCAGTTTTTTTACATTATGGGATATTGGCAAAACCAATTACCCGGACTAAGCGAGGTATAATTACAATAATATGAATAGACCATAGAAACTAAAGAATAAAATTAATCATGTAAACAAAATTAATTAATTATTTACAAGTGATTTGGGATTATTATGGAAAATGGATGTAAAAAAAATGTTTTAATAAAACGTGTGTAATTTGTAATTATAATTATATTTTTCTACCTAAATCATAGATTTTTCCTTTCTCTATACAATCTGTTTTTTGTCTCTTTTTGTGCTGTTTATTGTTATTCAGTTTTAAACTTCTCGATTAGTCCGATTTCAAACAGTGCGAATTATCCGGACTATGCGGATACAATATACAATACAATAATATGAACACACTATGAAAATTGAAGAATAAAATTGATCATGTAAACAAAATTAATTGTAAATAAAAATAGAATTATTTGCAAGTGATTTGGGATTACAATGGAAAATGGATGTGAAAAGAATGTTTTAATAAAACGTGTGTAATTTGGAATGTGCAGCTTTGGAATTAGAGCAATTGGAGCGAGGAAAGACCGGTCAATTAATTTCCTTCCCTTCGTTGCTCACAACTGTTCGCATTGTTCGCCCTATATATATATTTTTTTATTGTATTTTTTATGGTTATACAACCAATGGAAACTTATCTGCTTATTTAATGTAGCAAATGCACGCCTTTAGTAAATTCATTTAAAACAACAATTTCCTGTAATTTCATATTATATAAAAGTAAATATGTAATCAATAATTGTAATTAATGAATGGAAATAAAATAACAATTAATTTAATTTATTTTATAATATAAAAGTTAACTATGTAATTATAATTGTTTCATTATTTATAAATGAACAATATTTACTTTATTATTTACTGATAAAAAAGTTACTAATAATAACAAAAAAAAATAAAATAATAATAATTTAAAAACAACTTAATTAATATTAACATATAAAAAAGTCACCTGTTTACAAATTTACAAAAATATACAAAAAAAAACGTTACTAATATCAAATTTAATGATATAATTTTGAATATAATCTTTATATATTGAAGTTAATAGTTGAAAATTACTTTATAAAAAATCCATTTTTTTTTAATATTTAATTTAGTTTCAATTTATGAAGTTAATTGTTTATAATGAATTAATCAATTATAAATAAAAAGAAGAAACGTAGTATTATTTTCTTCATTTACATTTGGAAATGATTATTAATTAGAAAATTACTTGGGCAAATCTATAATAGAATTATAGTAAGTACTTAACAAGTATTTATTGCGTTAATATACCAATTTCCAAGTATTACTAAACATATTATAATTGTGATATAAATTTATTACAATAAAACATTCATTTATAAATAAAAGATATATTTTCACGACATATGAATTGAGCGTAAAATAAATTGAACAAATCGTGTTAATTCTAAAAGATTCCAAATATATAAAATTTAAAGTACTTATCAAGTATCAAATACCGTGTATCTTTGACATTTTTTATAGACAACATATTTCCGCTTAATAAACTTGATAAATTACTTGGCAAATATCAAATATCTTTAAAATATAACATGAAAACCAAGAAATTAATAACATACAATAACAACAAGAATATTAAATAATTTAAACGTGATTGCTTCTGCATTCGAAATAATATCAAAATATGTATGGACATAATTTCCAAGTACTTGGAAAGTATCATTTATTGAAAATAACATAATAATTATAAGAAAAAAATATTATTATGCTATTTTTGATTTGCATTCGAAATAGCTTGAAAATTAGTGTCGTTAAAATGTTTCTGCTTAATTAATTTTCTTTGACGTAAACAATTTTAATTAGAGATAAATGTGCAGAAAAATCGTTAAAATCGTTGACATCCGGTTTAATTATAATTAACGCAAATTAAACGCGAAATTTGATTATAATAATAATAATAATCTTTATTAGTTATAATGCAAGCGAAGGGCTATCGACCTAAGTCTTTCCGCCCAGAGACACAAAAAAACATAAAATGTCACAATAAATCATAAAAAAAATGCATTGTGAAAAAAGGTAAGACGTACATAAAGGGTGTCCCAAAATGAACGCAAGATTTGAATTTGCCGCCATTTGTGCAGTAAAGTGTTGGTAGCTCCAAAAAAAAAAGCAATTTGACAGTTGAGAGGTTAGGGTTAGTAAAAATCTTGCGTTAATTTTGGGACACCCTTTATATGCAAATATAAAAAAGATGAAATTATAAATTAAGTCAAATAAAAGTAAATCTTCTCGAAATGAAACAAATAATATATTGTGAAGCATCATTCGGCTAAAGAATGATAAAATTCGCCCGGGCACGGACTATACAGCCTTCATGATGAAATTCTGTCCCTGAAATTTTATTATTATTGTTAATTTATTTAAAAAAAAATGTATATTTGCTATAAAAATGAAAAAATAAATATTAAAGTTCAAAAAAACAAATCAATAAAATGTATACTATATCAGAAAAAATCATAATCAGAAAATATTTCTTAAATTATAAAAACTTTAAAAGAAAGTATAGAATATATAGAATTTTAATTATAATAAGCAAAAATAAAACTGGAAATTTATTATATAATATTTATTTAATAGAGTTTAAACAAAATAAATCACACAAGATATTTTATGTATATTTAATTAGAAAATTTAATTAAAATGTACAAAACTAATCTTTAATTTTAACATTCGGTTCAATTATAATAGACCAACATTAAATGTAAAAATTTCTTACTAGGGTTAAATTATGTTTTTAAACAAATGAGAAATAAAAATATGTATATTTGCTTCATAAAATGTAATATTAAAGTTTAAACAGAACAAATCATTAAAAAAATGTTTTTAATACAAACATTTATTACAACTTGTTACTTTACATGTATCAAGTATTGTATGAGACGTAATATCAAAAGTAAATAAGTAATACAATGTGTCTGTGTTAAGTATTTGTTAAAATAAGAAAATTGAATATTGATTAAATTGGAATATTGAAATTAAGTACGGATAAGAACATACGGTTAGTTAATCGAGTATAATGATAAAAATTCAGTTTCAAACTGAAATCTGCTGAAGCGAAAATGAAGAAATTTTATTCGCAATGTTCGCCCTACATTTTTCATTGTACTATTTGTTCTATTATTATGATTATGTTTTCCGTGGATCATTATCGATCTCGGACGACGCCGACGCATGCGTTTTTCGAAAATGAAAAACAAAACAAAAACGAGAGGAACGCACGAAAATGGCGTCGCTCCATCGATTTCGCAAAGTCTGCAAGAGTTTTGAAAATACGAATATATAAAAAACGAATAAAAAAACAAATTCATTATTAAATCTAGGATGCGCTCGAACTGAGATTCAAGTTAATCAACAATCTAATTAGAGCGATGGGCGGACGCTAATTAATAGGTTTCGCTAATTAAAAGTATTGTTTAATTCATCGAGTGTACGTACGTGCGGACGTCGCGTGTACGTAATTAAATTGGACGCATCGCGAGGTAAGGAGGTCGTAATTTATATTGGATTTTCCTCGTTTCAGGTACTCACCTAAAACAATGATGTTTGTGCGAAAGTTTCGTACGTTTTGAGCGTCGGTATTGGAGTGTTGGGAGGAAGGCACTTCCACTTTTCACCGAGTTTCAAAGGCAACTGTCGCGCGCTCCGTGAACCCCGCATTCGGCTCGCTTGTGGAGAGGCCAGGCCGTACGACCATTAACATAAATTATTATTGGAGACAGTTAATATTGGGTCATAAAGCTTTGCTGCCTGACAACCCTACGTGGGGTGCCTAGGCTACCTCCCTCCCTTAACGACCCCTATCCAACAAGAAAACCCTAAAACAGACGCAAAGCATACGCAGTCTTTTACAACACAAGAATCGTGCCATATCGCAATTTTCGTTTATTTATTTTTTTAGATAAATAAACACGTTTGAGCCTTTAATCCTCGAAACAGTTTGATTCCGCTCTATTTCGTTTCGAAGGGTGGATTCAGCTCAGCTTCGCCCTCGTATCCCAGATGCCAGATGCGCGTGATCCCGGTCCAGGAGGAGGCTGTGAGAACGCCTATTTCGTAATGGCCGTCTTCCTGTTTCCACATCGGAGTAATTGGCTGCTGCTGCTTGTTGATCCGTTCATTTGCATGCGTCGAGGACATCTCCTGGAGTGCGGTATGCTTTTAACCCACATTTTTTCACAATTCATACTCACATCTTATATATATAATAAATAGTATTTTGTTATTATCGTGAGGCGTGCGAAAAAAAGGTAATATAATACGCCGCTGCATGCGTCATAAATTTGAATAAATTTCAGATTCGCATGCAAATCGCTATGTGCTGGATGCCTGTTTTCATGCGGTGCCTATATAATTTTTCGTTTCTTTCCTCCGTCCGCTTTAGAGCGTAGCATTGGATTGCACAGGAAATATTAATATTTTTTGAATTTGTTCCGTGACAGTTACGGCCACGCCATCTATCGACGACGGTAAGAATATGGTCTTCTCAAGAAGTTTAACCTAAAAGGTTACTTAATGGCAGTTACAGAAAACTGTAAGTACACACATTTTACTTAAGTACACTTTGCAATAAATACTTCATATAGTCTTTGGATTAACTTTAGTCTTGTTGTTAATACTCATACTGATCAAATGACTTGAGGAAGAGGAAGACCAAGAACTTTGTTGTTAAATAATTGCTTTTTGTTGTTAACTTAATCTTGATTTTACAGAAACTTAAAATTTACATTTCTAATACTTCAAATTTCTCGAAACTTTTTTTTTTTAGTATGGATTCATAAAGACTAAGCAAATTTGAATTTGGAGTACTTAGACAAATTTTAATACGAGGTCCCACTTAATTTGAAAGAGAGGAACTCTTAGAAAGCCGGAGGCCCTAGACACCAGTCAGTTTTATCAATTGAGGGCCCTAGCCATATTTTTATTTGGGTCCTCTATAGATTTAAGTCATATAGAATATTCAATGATCGTACATTGAATATTCTATATTTTTATTAATATATTTAGAGACTGATGAAATTTGAATGAAGATACCAAAATCCATGTATGAATATTAAAAATAATTTATTGATCATGCTGCAAAATGATACAATTAATTGAATGCTTTTAAATTCATACTGTGGAAATGGAAAAAAGTAAGATTTAATTTTATTGATAGCAATACCTCTCATAGACCGGTCAGTTTAGAATTTACAATAGTCCTGTTTGCAAATATAGCAATACGTCATAGTATTAACTTTCTTGTTAATTGTTACACTGACCTAATGAGTGGAAGAGAAGGAATGACAATAAGTTTGATGTCAAATAATTGCTCTTTATTGTAAACTTTAATCTTCCTTTCATAGAAACTTTGTCCCTCAAGACATTATCTTAGAAGCCTTTATAATATTACTCAGGATTTTTATAAGTCTGACTTCATAAGAACTATACAAATTAGAATTTCGAAGTCTGAAAGAAATTTGAATTTGAGCCCGACTTTTATTTGAAAGAGAGAACATTTCTAGAGCCAAAAACAACATTTATAATAAAAGTGGAGTGTTAATTCTTATTCAGATAATCGTGGGCCCTAGTTGTCAGTTAGTTTTGTTATTTGAGGGTCCTAACCACGTTATTATTTGGGACCTCTATAGATCAAAATTCCGCCACTTATTTACTTTATTTTATAATGTTGATGGAATCTTATTGTATTTATATGAATTTGTTTTAGAGACTGGTGGAATTGAATCTGATATACCAAATCCAATGAAGAAGATTACAAATAAGGATTTTACCAAGCAAAATTATAGAATTTCCTGATTTGAACAGAATGGAAAAGGAAGAAATGGAAAAGGTAATATTTGGTTTTCTATTATTATTAAATTAATGATTCAAATAATGGAAGTTCAATAATTCAACTTTGAAAACTACTTATTTATTAAGTTTTGTACTTGCTTAGCAAACATTCAATTCTAAACAATGATACAAAAAATATACAATATTCTATGTACCACCAATTATTATATTTTTTTAGGAACTGATGAAATTTGATTGAAAATACCAAAATCAAAGTATGAAGATTAAAAATAAAGTATCATGCAAAATGATACAATTATTTGGATTGAAAAGTAATCCTGTGGGAATGGAAAATGTAAGAATTATTTGTATATATAGCAATTGTCCGGTTTGAATTCACTATAGTCAGGATTCAAAACAAACTAAATTGCAATACAGCACAATTTTTTTTGTTGATATTTAACAAAAAATGGATCGACTTTTACGGAGCGCGTTGGAAAGCTTCAACTTTCATCTTTAAAATGAATTCAAAATGTTGTTCAGGATTACCGAGGAATTGAATGACTTTAATCATCTTTGTGGAGTCTACCAAAGTGCTGGATAGCTAAAAAAAGGGCATGTTGGAAAGCTTTGAGTTTCATCTTAAAAATGATTCAATGAATGATTGATCCGTTAAATCATTGGGTAATAAAAACTATATAGTAGATAATATAAATATAAATTAAAGTAAATATTGCAATTTTAACTTTATATAGAATTAGGAAGATATTTTAACACAAGAGTCAAATTTTCACGAAATGAAGATACTTATTAGTTATAGCTTATTTATAATTATTAAATTGAAAGAAAATATATAGTAACAAACATACTAAGTGAGTCAAGTTACATGTAATTTTTTCGAAGAACATGTACTTAGTAAATATCAAGTACTGAATACTCACAAGAAGTAAACTTGTCGACTATAGTTCTTTTTGCTTAATCTATTTTATAGTTTGTACTAATTTATGAGTTAAAAAATATATAAGATATATAAAAGAATTGACTTAAACTCAAACTTACCAATTCGTAAAATATAATATTTCAAATTTCTACTATTATTTCTACATATTTAGAAAATATTAGCAAAACACTAATGTTTAGGTTTTAACTTTAATATTATTGATAAAGAAAAAATATTTTGGAATCGTGTATTTAATAATTGTAACAATAGTTAATTATTATTTACTAATGTTTTTTATCTAATATGGTTTTAACGCCCAAAGACTTTTGTCCTACAAAAAAATAAATTATTGCAATTAAAACTCTTTTAGTAAAATTGATGAATCAATGATATTTAAATCAATTTGATTGTTCGTATAATAACATCTGATATACAAATAGTATTTAATAAAAAAATTGTCTAATGAACTGCAAATTTAGTATTATTTTATAGAAAATTATATGTTCATAATACTAATGTTAATTTGTTTGTTTATTTCAGAACAAAATCTTTGATGAAACCCAAATGTGGTACATGTGAAGAAATGTAGTTCAATTGGAACTGGATGAAATACGAAATAATTCTAATACAAAATGGATTTATTGATGAAATAAGACACAAGAAAAACTAAAACAGGTAAATATCAAAGATGAAATATCAGAATGAACAATATTTAGTCTATATGCATTATCATCAATAGTTTGTGTAGATTATAACAAAATAGACTGATAGATATATGGGTATACCATCATATTTTACTATAATTAAGTTTCTTAATTATAACTATTAGGTTTTATATGAAAACAAATGATTCTTTAAATAACAATTAGTTACATACAAATTAAATTTGTTAATTTACAATAATAGATAGTAACGTTTAGTAATCATGAAATAAATTGAAAACAAGTTGAAAAATTATAAACCTACATGAAATCTAGTCAACTGCTAATTGATTTAATGTATTCAGGTAGATAAAAGTTGAGAGTCCTTCAGCTGTAACATCCTATAAAATGTCATTTTAACTCCCTTGGGATAAGCGCTTCAGGGTGGAGTTTAAAGCCTCTCTTATTCCGTGATTAGTGGAGAGATTTTTGAATTTTCTAGCCAATCCTAAGTAAACATCAAGTAAAGCCTTAAATTACATCTTAAAAACACATATATAGTTTTGATCAGAGCGTCGAACCGAAAAACTTAAATTAACCGTAACTATAACCGGAACGAAAAATTGCTCAATTGAAAAACCGGATCGAAATTTTAATTTCAGTTAAATCGGTTTATCTTTTTTTTCATTAAAATAATTCATAATCGCTTTTTTTCATGTATGCCATGTTAATAAATTAACCAATTTAAATTGCTATTTTTTTCTATTTTATATTCTAATTTCAACCGGAACTGAACAGAAATTTATAGACGAACCGAAACCAAATCTGGAACGATAAACATTTACTTAGACCGTAACCGTAAACCGGAACGAAATTAATTTCTATTTGACTCTCTGGTTTTGATACAAATAATCTTTTAAATAGTTTTATTTTATTTATTGATATTCAAATTTGTAATTTTTTGGGACTGAAGGATTTCTGCTCATTGATTTATATGTAAATATAATGACAATAATTATATAACAATATCCATTACAATATGTATTTAATAATGTATATGCTGTTGATCGATATATACCGAAGAATATTTGAACTGGAGGAATTTTAAATAAATTTAAGACAATTAAACTCTAATATTGTTATATAAATGAAACAAGAATAATACGACAAGTGTTAATGTTAAAAAGACACACATTTTTGTGCAGTTTCATAGTTATA